AATAGCCGTGATAAATTATTTAATAAAAACGTTAAAAATAACTCAAATTATTTTTAAGTAGCGTCAGAATGCTGCTTAATATCATATTTCGAAGCTTAGAAATTTTGGTGTATTTTCGTTCTTGCGATCTTAAAAACTAACCCGTTTTCTCACCACCTGTCTAAGTGCAACTTCATTCAAACTTTGGACGTTTAGCGGTTTGTTGTATATCTCTGAAACGACTGGAACTAATTTTTTTAAAATCTCTTCACATAATCTTCATGATGTATATAATAATTCCTAAAACGTTTATTAAGATTGGTTCACTGCAACACCTTGAAATTTCAAGACAAACCTATCCTACGAACCGGTCAAAAATCCACGCTACAACAGTCACTATTTTGACGTTATGCTAATTTTTCCAAATTAATGCGGACGATACATATATCCATGACTAGCACATTTCAGTGTGAGTAAAAAATATTCTCAATGTTTTACATTCAAAAGATGCGATAAATTCAAATTATTTTTTTTAAAAACTACGTTTTCACAAGTTTCAATCCATAGCCAATTACTGGTGAAAATTTTAAAGCGATCAGACAAGGGAAAAACCACTTTTAAGGCGATTGAAAAATATCGGTATGGTCTCTGAAAACCTGTATCGAAACACCTTAAAAGAGAGGCTTAGGGCAACTCAGAAATGGCGGGCCATTGCATCAAGGGGTCTATATCACGAAACGTTCTATGTTTAGATCGATTAGATTTTAGATCGCTAAAAGGTGACAAAAGGGGCGGAACTCACACATCACAAGAGGGCCCGCAGGATGTTTCTCCCTTTTGCTTTTCTTTTCTTCTTGTGTCTGTGCCGCGAATGATTTTTCTTTTATAATTCTCCAAAGAACGTATGTTCTCATATATACCACATTAGATAGCAAATAATCCAATCGTTTCGATATATGTTATTATTAAAGAACGTCAAGCGTACACCAAGGGTGAGCCTTGGATTCTGTTACAGCAGATTTTAATCTCTCTTTTTATCGCAAATTAGGGTGTAATTTCATTCCAATTAGCACCATAATGTTCATTCCAATCAGCGTCTTGTTGTTGCGTTAGCCATGGATTTCCCCTGCGGCAGAATATAAATATCTCTCCCCTCTCCCCTGACTATAAATTAAATGGATTTCTTCGCCTGGTAGGAAGTTCCTAACAAGTGAGTAGATTCATACATGAAAGTGAACAATATGGTTACTGACTATTGTGCGCTTTAATTTGCAGATAAGTTTTCCAGATGCAGTCGAGTTTGTTTTTCTCTTGGGATTGTCATAGGGATCTAAGAACAAAAAATTGTTACATTTCTAGACTTTCACTCAACTAAACAGGGACTGCCATTGGTTGATTCTTGGTCACGTGGCCTTGTCTAAAATCAAATGTATTCCGATTGCGATACATTTAACCTGAGATCAGGCCCAATTTTAGCGGTTCTCATACATTCTCTCTAACGGCTACCGCTAAAGTTTTCGTTTCTCCTTGCCCGCCGGAATGTAATTTTCAAAGCGAAACGAAAATAGAGCCTGATCTCAGGTTATCATACATTAAGCAATGTACCCCGCTCTGGATACATTACAGCACGCGATCAAAGCAACGTGGAAAGTGGCGTGACAGAAGGCGGGAAAAACAGTGAAAGTTTTCTTGTTCGTGAATGAACACAACAACACAAACACGAAGCCTTAAGCTAAAAAGCAACTATTTTTAAAGTTATTCCAGAAGAGAAACACCAGCTAGTGGAGGAAAAAGATGCAGATAATGTAAGGAAAGTACTTTGTAAATCTTTTCATCCAGTGGTTTTGAGAATTAAATTTGTGTTGTTATAAGTACCGAGTCGACTGTTTTGGTTTGCTTTGGTTATTCTTTTAATGATGTTGAAGTGAAAATCGAGAAAAATAACAAACACTTAATGTCAGGTCCCTCGGGAAACCAGTTAGTTTTGTTTTCCCTCGAGTTCTGATGTTTCCCGAGACGAAGTCGACGGAAACATCAGGATTCTCGGTAAAACAAAACCAACTGTTTCCCTCGGGATCCGACATTAAATGTATAATATAACGTCCAGTTAGGTCTGTAGTCATGGTGACGAAATGAGACGTTCAAATTATGTCATAATTTCGGTGCTGTCCTTCTTTATTTCTCACGTCTATTGTTGTTATTCCACCACGTGACCAAGTTACCATGTTATGTCACTGGTGAACAAAAAGATAGATAATTTTTCGCAGAATTTACATGAAAAAAGAATTAAGTTCCCGGTGGAGAGAAAAGCTTCTGTTTTTGTCCACCAGTAAGGCCACCATAACATCAGCTGAAAATCAGGAAAACGAAAGGAGGGTGATAAAACCTCATTTTGTCATTTTGATATTATTTAGGGTGTGTAAGCCTCGTTACGGAGTGGGCTGGAGCTTTGATATCAGTTCACTTCACACATCAGAGGTTCGGCTGAAAACAGTGAGTTCCTAATTGAATCAATAGCGCCGTACGCCAAGGCACCTTCTTTGCTGAAGTTGCGTCAGTTTTTTTTTCTGAAAATATAATTGTCTAGCGGTCACAATAGCGAAAGAACACACGACCTACCATCTGTTTAGCTATTAGTTATGAGTCACACGTGTTTACTTCTTTTTAACCCGAACCTGCTCACTTCGAAATATAAAAATGTTGCTTTTGTCATAGTCTCAAGGTTTAGTACTTCGCCTCGAATCGTAAACTTGATAATACACGATTGCAAGTTTTTTGAACGGCTTTAACATCTCTGATATAAATAAACTCATTCTTGCACTAATATTTAGATTTGGGTTTTTTTTGGTCTTAAAAATTGTACTTAAAGTTTAGCCGTATCTTTATCAGATATAAAGACACCCATAATAAATAAACATATATTTCTTCTTTTTTTTCTTTATAAAATATTAATGAGTTTTTCAATTGTACTTACCGCTTCCCACTGTGCCCATTACATCTAACTTCCAAAAAGAAATTAGTTTGCTGAGGATAATGCAAACTACGATTGCGTCAAAGCAAGAGAAGATATAAAAGGAAACTTAGGCAATTTTTTATAATTACTTGCTAAGAGCAGACATATGACGCATCGTTCGTTTGGACAGCTGACTATTTGTTTAATTCAGTTTTGGCCAAACGATAATGGATTTGTTACATTCGGCATCTACGTTTATCGTCAAATACATCAAGGAAAGCTCATGATTTAAGGGCTTGAGTTGCATCAAACCTGTCAGGAATACCAAGCGTAACGACAGGCTTATCAATGTTGCTATTTATTACATTGATGGTGATTTCAGCCCAGACTATACCACGCATGCTCAGTGTAAACTATTTCCTTTAATTTTTTGTATCTAAATCGAAGTGTTGATAAGCGTGAAAAATAACTGTATTGATGAAAAAATAAAATAAATTATAGAAACCAACTCAGGATAGAGAAAGTAAAGGTGACATAAAACGTGACTTGGAGAACAGGTTTCTATTTATATTTTACTATAAATATTTATTTTCAGAGGTAAAAACTTTGCGCCCACGTAAAGCTACAGGGTGTAATTGTTTTATTCTCCGTCAGTGAAAAAAAAAGTCATTCGTCACGGCGAGTCTGACTTTACACCTCCTCTAAAGAGAGAGACGTTTATAAGTAATATGACTATGATGCCGAGTGATTTCTCGCGATAACTGGTAATACGCGTACGCGTCGTCAGATATTTGTTAGATCAGAGAATGATGACAGAATTTGTTATTTGAAAGGTAAGGGAATTATCTGCCTAGTATTTCACTTGTTGCAATCTCAAGACCAGCAAATGACAAATAACACAATATCTACTACCTTCCCGGTTAATGTTTCGGTTTGCTGACCTTCAGGTACTGAGTTACTGTCACTGAAATCATAGTATTGAAGCCAATTTGATCAACGAAACAGATAAACCAAACATTTGTACCCATATCTATTCCAACAACAATCGTTCCAGGTATCTATTTCTACAACTCTCTGATACTCATAAAAAAGGATCAGAAAGACCGACAGCTAGCTCTAAACTAGCTTGATTCTGATCGTTAATGCTAGCATATCACACTCAGTATATCAAATAAGAAGCACGTCTGAAATACATTTATTTTTTGCCAGGCCAACTGTATGATTTTGAAAACTAAAATCAACTTTTAAAAACTACAAAGCTATTGAGGAGCCAATATATATCTCAAATTCAATAACAAGAACATGAAATCGCATATGGAGTCTACTACAACAACAACACCTGCTGCGACCACGAATAAACAGCACACCACCCAAATGGCACTTCAGTGCCATTTTGCTTTCCCCTATCAATATTATCCTTATTAGTCTATTAGCTTATCGCCATTTTTTTTTTTTTTCCACACCTATGGGATTGATTTTGTCAACTTTTTTATAGCAATTGTCAAGAATATCTCTATTTTTATCCCACTCGGTCTTTTTGTTTGCTTTCTGTTTATTTTATTGAATAGTTATTGTAAAGCGCCTTTAGACAAATCTCCCCCTAGTGTATTTTTGTAAACACGATAACCTTTCGTGCTGTTAAAATGTGCCAAAAAACGAGCGTTGACTAGAAGTGGGGTTTGTATTATTGCTCTTTTTTGATTAACTAATTTTTGGCAATAAATTAAAATCCCACCTTTGAAAGCCTCCCCATTGAGAACGTGTAGGCTTAAAAATAAGAATTGAGCATTGAAGTTCAAATAGGTTCTTATCTTTGAAAATACAACGATGAATATAAATTAACTGTTCAAACCAAATCTAAAATATATGTAAATTATGGGATCCAGACGAAGTTGTTGAATAATTCTTTTAAGAATACTACGTCCTCTTGATTGATATAATATTAAAGAGGTGTCTTAACAAGAGAGAATCCTCACCCAATTAGACCAGCGGGAAGCTGCTAAACCCCGCCCCCTCCCCATTTTACGGCATTTTTTTCCTTCATTTATTTATTTATTTATTTATTTTTTTAAATATATTTTTTTTTTCAGCAGGGTATAAAATGAAATCCGTGGAATACATTAGTCTCAAGGTTGCATTTTTTATCATGGTTTTAATAGACCTTGCTGGCAACACCCTGGTGATTCTAGTGATTCGTTTAAACAAGTCCATGAAAACCCCTATGAACATGCTTTTGCTTAACTTGGCCGTTGCTGATATGGTAGTAGCAGTGTTTGTGGCAATACAGTTCGTCATTGGGCCAACATTCGAACACCCGTCTGGGACATCAGGCTTGTGGCTTTGCAAGTTTATAACTGGAGGAACAATGACATGGTCAGCGGCTGCAGTATCCGTGGGTAACCTGGTTGCAATTTCCATCGAAAGGTGAATTGTTTATGTTTCCATCTAAATATAAGTAAGCAAAACACGCAGGTAACGCAGCCTTCTCATGAGCAGTTTTCAAGTTATAAAGGGCAACTTCCGAATATTCCCCAGTCCCAGGAATCCACAACATCATGGTCAAAAAAGGGTTAAATCTATAGAAAAGGAGCTTCTTAGTAAAAGCACCATTCATTCAACGGGCCCAATTTTTCACTCCAAACGTGGGACCAGAAAATTTTTGCCAGGTAAAATATATAGATCATTGTCCAGTTGTTCTATTGTCTCTTATCGGCGGCTTTATTATTGTGCATAGTTTTATTGCGTAATTTAGGCTTTATATTGTAAATAAGTTTTCCTTTTCCCTTTTACTTATCTTTAGTTTTATTTATTTATTTATTTATTCATTTATTTATTTTTATTACGGCTTATTAGCTTATTATTTTTATTATTGCTAGAGATCTAATCAAACTCATCAATCCCTAGATTATATTAAGTTTCATACATTCATTTTTTTTGTTACAAGATGTTTGCTTTGGCAGATTGAATAGAAAAAATGAACTTGATATCATTTGTTCCACCTTGGTATCGATGACAGTAAAACCAGCGACTCAGATCCTGGTTTTTAAGAACCTGTTAGGCTAAAATTTGAAAGTTATGTCTCCTCTATACAAGAACCTCTTTAACCTAAAATTCTCTACACTTGGCCAAATAAGAAAAGTCAACACTGGTTCAGGATTCTCTTTGGTGACATAGTTGCCTTGTTTTTAAAACTACAATTGTAAAGGTAAACGGAATTACCCTGGGGAATGAGCTGAATATCACTAAATACTTTTAGCTTCAATGAAGTTATTTTCTTCAGAAAATAAGAACCTATTTCAGAACCTACATGGCCTAAATATGTGCTAATTACCATGCATGTAAGAACCTGTTTAGGCTAACTTTGGAAAATGAAGGTTCTTAGTCGCGGGTTTTTACTGTATGCTCTTAATTCCCTTTTCCTCTAATTCCCCTTTTCTTTTGGTCTTTTTGTTAAAGATATAACGCAGTAGTAAAGCCGCTGGCTAGCCGTTCAACACTCACGAAAACCAAATTGAAGCTCATTATCATTGGTTGCTGGTTACTCGGCTTCTTTTGGAATGTTCCTCTTTTTGCTGTCATGACTTACAGGGCGGATCTAGAGACCTGCGGTGAGCACTGGCCTGGTCAGATCTTTCCAATAGTTTACAGTTCTGGGTGGAGTGTAGTGGCTGGAATCGTACCCATCAGTTTAATGAGCTATCTGTACTCAAGAGTGGTTTACAAGCTGTGGTTTGAGGTAACCCCAGCTGTGCCGTCCACATCAGCGGTAAGTGTTATTAATAACAACCCACTCTGGCGTGGCCTCAGTTTAGCTGGCGCGTAATTCGTTATAATTAGAGAGCGATGAAACTACCACCAGCTACAAAGGCTATCTCTGCACATAGTTGTTAAAGTGGCATGGTTCTGAAACCCGTTTGACTCTTTTGTTATATGTTTTTGCTTGCTTTTTTGGACCTAACCGTTCACAACGTTCAATAGCATTATTTACTGACCAATAGAAACATCGCATTAATTTATTCAGTCACAATTTGTGAACAAAAAACAAAGGATTGTGCACGGTCTGGGAGCTTCCAACAACATAAACTACAGCATCAACTTGAAAACAAGGAAACAAGGAACAAAGTATGCCAGCATCAGTAAACACTAGGCAACCGATCGAAGAAGAGTCTTGACTTAACGTTTTCTCACGTATTCTCAAAAACTACTGAGACACCCTTTTTCAGCAGAAACGTTAGCACTGTTATCTTTATTGAAGGAACTTAAGCCCTCTCTCGATCACAAAATGATAAAACTTCTAACATTTGATAACTTGCTTCCGCCACTACGACATTCTCGCTAAAACTCATAGTAGAATGACGAAGGCTACCACGTTTTCCCGCCAAAATGAAACTGGTTCACGTGCGAGCACTACTTGGTACTGAGGAAATCTCGTTTGTTTTCGAATGGGGTAACTTCGGACAACAAAAGAATCCACACCCCTTCCCCCTCCCCTCCTGTTGTCTTCTAAAGGTAGCTCTGTCAGCGGCACAACATTGCATGGAATGGGTAGGGGAAGAAAAAGCTTTATTACATTTGACCTTTTTAAGTTAGCAAAGGTTAGAGAAGCCCTTTAGGGTGACGTATCCTCACCAAATTTGTGGCTGATTGTAGCATGACATCGGTCAAAAAACAACAACTTACTACTCTAAATCTCTCTTTTCAGAAGAAGGCCTCACTGTCCAAGAAGAAAGCTACTATCGCGGTGATAACAGTCAGTTTAATCTATGCCATTTGTTGGGTGCCAGTTCTTGTGATGTACTGCTTGGCACAATCATTACCAAACATGATGGTGCTCAGCCACCAACATAAAGTCACCATACTTCTGGCAGTGTTCAACTCCAGCATTAATCCAGTTGTTTATAGTTTTACCAGTGCGCGCTTTAGAAAACACCTTGTAAAACTACTGAGATGCAAATGCTATTCGAACAACTCGGAGAAGCAGTTGAAACCTTTGGCGCAGAGGTCACAGCCGACTGCATCTGACGGCATGTGAACAACCAGGGTGGAAAAACAAGTTTCAGGCGCCTGCATGAGACTCCCTAAATCACTGTATGTGGCTATGAAGTCGCCTGTGATCGGAAAGCGTGTACGTTATGAGATACTTACAGTTCATAACTTGTTAAAATATCAAGCAGCGTCAAAATACTGTTGAATCAAATATCTTCATTCTTCAGAATGATATTTTCCAGCCTTAGTCTTGTAGGTTGGTGGACGGCCGATTTCTAGCCAGTCCCTGATAGTCCTCTTTTGCTAAATTAAATACTATAATCATTAAATTTCGACCCTACTCATCATAGAGCCTCCAGAAGAAGTTGGAGCATCCGATCTAACTGGAACTCGGAAGGTCATGAGTTCAAGTCTCACCTGAAGTTCGGAATTATTTTCGAAGCTTTCTGGTGTTTTGAAAAACTTATGCCCTTGAACCCCTTTATAAGTTACATATAAATTACATTAATGTTCACTGTGGAAGAAATTAAGAAATAACTAAAAACAAATTTAAATACAGAATATAAATACATGTCTATAGATCTTTCTAGTTTCATTGTCCTTAGCGTATTTAGTATAGTTTCCAGGGGCGTAGTCAGGATTTTTTCAGAGGTACGCACAATTCTCCAAATCGCTGTGTACTGTGTAAACCCAACCCCAAACCCCCGCCCTTCTCCAAAAAAAACACTGATCTGAGGTTTGGTTGCAAGCGTAAGAGTTTTTTTCTGCATATGAAATGACATTAGCAACTTATGAAATACTTTCTCGGGTGTTTGGGTCCATTGATTGATCGACGTCAATCATCTATCATGCAATAAGGCTTATCATGCAATAAGGCTACATACTTTTCCGGATTCGTTACTTTATTTTGTTACTGGGTTCGTTTTGTCGTTTTTAAGCAGATGTAGCGCGTGAATCCGAGCTGAAAAGGTACCGATTTGGTCAAGTCTCTATAGATTTTGAATCCGAAATCCAAAGTAAACCCGATGCCTTGTAAATTTGCACTGTATTGTAAACAATTTGTGCAACTTATCCGCGGATACTTTTCCGCATTTGATCTACGAGTTTGCACTAAAACCAAAATGGAACTGCCACTTTCATGAATATAGGGCGCCTTAGCAACGATGACGGCGAGGGCAACGAAAACGTCCCTAGCTATCAAAATGAATGCGCGTTTTTTTAAACTTTCATTTCAACTCTCTTAAAATGGCAAATATAGGTCAACTTCGTATGGAGTCTTGGAGATCGCACCCAAGTTCGGACTCAGAGAAGAAATTTAATTTGCCCCTGTGTTTACGTCCTCCAAACAACGTCGCAAAATGAAATTTACGGTTGTGTTCGCACAGGTTGTATAGAAAAGCGCACTGGAAGTGCAAAATTTGTTGTTTTTCATTTGCTTATTGGGCTCATTGCCGTCGCCGTCACCGTCGCCTTTTTCGTTGCTCCCAGGATTTATTGATGTGCGTAAATGGTTAGGAATCCGAACACGTTTTTCAGTACGTAGTAAAAACGCCTGCCATATATCTTTTCACTAGACAGGTATACGTTATTCAAGATTCGGTACATTAATAAATTTCTTCGTCTCTTTGTAGACCGACATTTGGGAGGAGAGGGGAAAAAAAGTCAGTTGTTTAGAAAAAAAGTAGATTTCAAAGAAACAACCAGGGTTGATGAACTGAGGCAAACTGTGCTCTCAAAATAATTGTCTTAAGATATTTTGCTTTCTTTTTAGAATGAACTTTTTATTCTTTATTATTTATTCATTATATATCTTTTCTTTTTGTGCACGACTTTTTCAGATATGCACGTGCGTACTGGTAACTATGGCCCTGATTTCGTTCACCGAGCTGAAAAAAAAGGCACGTTTTCCTGCAAATTCAACTCGGGTTCAAAGGCCGATCGATGCTGGCGCGGAGCTGAAACCAGTTTGATCCATCGAAGGACGAGAAAAAAAGTTCATTCTGACTTTGCCACAGTGGAACAGGAATTCAAAAGTAGATTTCAGCGGGGGGTGGGGGGGGAGCAAGGTTTTCACGGTAAAAACCCGAACTGAAAAGCTTTCGACAAACATAACTCGCGACCCAAACAAACTCGTCTGAGAGGTGGGATGCACTGACAAATGTTTTAACTTTTCGCCCTCATTTTGAAGCTTCTGGTCGAAATTGTTTCTGTACTCTCTGTAAATACTACTGCAGTCGAAATGTATCGCCAAAAGTATTCATGACCGCCAAATCGGCCGCAAAAACCAGTTAAAACAACGGACCAACATTTCGCTCTTATTTTTAATGACAACATTGCGGACAGTAACAGATATATAGAGATATTTGTGGGCCAGCCGGGTTTGTCTGCCGCTACGATCCACGCTCGATCCACTAGCGGAGCGCGCGGATCTTCTTTTTCGTTGTAAATGTTTCTTAAGATTTGATTGTCGCATTTCAAAAATTCAATACTTGTTTTAATTAAGGGAATTACAGTATCTTATACCAAACACAATTAGCGACGAATCGTGTTTTTCGTTTACCCTGACCTTTTATAACTTTAAAGTTCATTTTTTTTTTTAGTTATGATTTAAGGAAATTTAAAACTCAACCTCATCTAGCGTTCGTTTTACGTGACCCTCTATTAAACAGTCGGTTGTTTCTTCCTTTTCAGAGATTTCCATCATTAATTTAAGTTCAGTGACGTTATTTTCATATCTTGACCACAGAATTATAAGCGTAACTATACGAATGAGGTGAAAATCTGATCACTTAAAAATCTCCTTTTGTTGCATAAGGAGCACTAGACTATTATTAGTGTATTCTCGGTATATTTTTGTACAGCTAAACCTCGAATCTTATACGTGATGGTTTTTAATCGCTTGAAAGTTTTACTGCCCATTTTGTTTTAAGTTTTATTATTTTTCTACAACGGAGTGAGACTTGAGAAAGTATCTTACATATGAATATTTAGCAAGAGGTTGAAGAAGAAATTAATTCATTTGGCCAAAAATGTCAATCAGGTTTATATCCTGATTAAGGCCTTGTTTCAATTCAGATGATCGAGACATTGGGCGGTGACGGCAAGCCTTTAATTTCACCTTGTCTCCTTCATTACCCTTGCCTGTAAGAGATGATGGTGAAAAAAAACTGGCGACATGTTATTTTTTGCTTCTACCTAAAAATGGTATAAAATAGAAATGATCTGTAAACAAAAGGTTGTCTGATATGAAATGATACTGAAGCATTTTAATTTCGAAAGGCTTGTCAACGGATTAGACCCTTTGTTATGCTCGCTTCGAAATGTCATCTAACGAATTTTCCGTTTCAACAGCTGTCTTCTGTTTAAATTCTGGTCAACAGATAATGACGTTCATCACGTTATGGTATGACTTTAGTCCTTTCAAGGACGCTAATGCCGTTAATTGATACGGATTATTGCATTAGATATGTCAGAAAAAGGGGACGTTACCTCAAGCTGATTATACTTGGAAAACTATGACTTTGCAGTTCAGGCCATTCCTCCCATGCTCGGTATAGCCTGCGTCTTTTTATTTCCATCACAAACAAAATGTGGAAAAACGTATAGAGCATTGCATACAGGCTAGGAAAATCAGAGCTGCATTAAAGAATATATGAAATTACCCCTAAAGAGATCAAGGGACAGAACTAATAAGCGACCGTAAGCGTGACTGTCAGAACATTATCCATTTCATTAAGCCGATAAATATTGATTTTTCTCAGGTAAAACGCTTGCACCAATGTTTTTTTCAATTAAGTCACGGTCAGTTCAAAAAATAAAATCAAGTAGTCGAACTCGGTAAGTCTGACCGTCTAAGCATCTTCTCAACTGAGGGACATTCAGAACAGAAACAGTGTTTTGAAAGGTAAGAGGATCCACTACATCCATTCTTACAACCCCCAAATAACAAATAACACAACATGGACCGTATTTATACTTTAATTTTATACCAAGACCGCAGCCCCAAGTAGCTATCCCTAGAAACTTCCCTAATAATCACACAAAAGCTGAATAAAAAAAAATCGCAGGTAGCTGGCTCAAGCATTCTTGTTCAGCACGCGTGCAATGACCACGCTTGGCTGACTTCCGAATGCTCACCGAGATATTCCCGTCACGAATTAGTTTAATTATTGGCTTGCATTAAACCTATGAAAAAATGATATTTTTTTAATAATAAGTAGATTTAGTGTGTAGCACTTCTTGATTTTTTTGCAAAGGCACAAGAAGCACAAGAATTGATTGAAAATTGTGAATTAAACCTCTATGTATCACGCGATGGCCTGTCTCACTGTACCAAAATTAATCATATCTCGGCGAGCATTCGGAAGTCAGCCAAGCGCGGTCATTGAACGCGTGCTGAACAAGAATGTTGTATAATGACAGACTAGAAACAATAGACAACTCCCAAAGCACAAACTCAGCCAAAACGCTAAAAATCTTCAATGTTTACTCAAGTTTGGGCTTATAGAAGATAATGTCACAGTTTTTCAATGACCATGAAATTCAGAGTCCGGGTAGTTAGTTAATCAATTGTGGCCCTGAAAAAATTTGAAGGAAAAAAAACTACGAATTTTTAAGAAAATGCTTTTTTCGTGAGAAGGACTCTTAAACGCTGACAAACGTCAACAAATAGCGAAAACTATAATTTCTATATGTTTGCTTTGCTCGAAATCGCGCGCATTTACAAGGCCCTAAAGCGTTTTGCTGACTTGCAAGGACCCATCTGTTATAACGATGCCCAAAATAAAGAGATGAATCTCATAGTTTATTAGACATAATCCGTGTAAAGTTTGCTTATCGTTTTCGCATAAATTATGACCTAAATTTGGAAACCGCTGAATTTCTCGAATTGGGTCTTTGCGATTTTGGTGAAACTCTGTTCAGCGCAAGGCACTAATGCACACTATGTGTAGCCGAGAGATTTTCACGAAAAAATGCCGGCAACAGAAGATTTTCGACTCAGACCTCAAAGGGGCGTGGCATTACAACCACGTGACATTTACTCCGATCGCCAAAAATTTTATGTTATATTGTAGATTGATCTATATGTTATCCATTCTATGTGTTAGACTTATGATAAAAGTAAAGGTGGGGATACCAGAGAGCTTCAAAGTAGGATGGTACCCCCTCAAAAAAACTGGGTCGAGTCACCTTAAAGAGCATGAAAATTGGACATGACCTTCAACGTTTCCAAGAACATAGACGGTTTTGTATAGTGATAGCAGTATTGTCTTTTAGTCGAAAGATTCATAAAAATGAAATCCGTGGAGAATATTTGTCTCATCGTGGCATTCGTGATTATGGCTATTATGGACCTTGTTGGAAACACCCTGGTGGTTCTAGTGATTCGTTTAAACAAGTCCATGAGAACGCCTATGAATACGCTTTTGCTTAACTTGGCCGTTGCTGATATGGTGGTAGCAGTGTTTGTCACAATACGGTTCGTCATTGGGCCAACATTCGAACACCCATCTGGAACAACAGGCTTGTTGCTTTGCAAGTTCATTACAGGAGGACCGATGTCTTGGTCAGCAGCTGCAGTATCTGTGTTTACCCTGGTTGTAATTTCCATCGAAAGGTGAATTTTGTTTGTTTTCCAACTAAATATGAGTTGGCAAAATAGATACAGTGCTACACCAACGCGGCGAAATCTTTTAGACGCGCTAAAGATTTACACCCTTATCAATCTTAATCCAACTGTAATGCCTCTATACTATATATTTGACAACGGTTACTAACGTACCAAGAAAAAGGACTTGAACATGTATTACAACAGGAACAAACATAATTCAGCTAAATTAAGATTGTAGGCTTGTAGTAATGATTAATTCAGGTCATTTCCACATTAGACCACATACGTTTTAATTGCTCCACTGAAAAACTTCATATTTCCAGATTTAAGTTTACATCATAAAAGCCTGTTCCTCTTTGGAAATGATATCAAAATCTATTATTTAATTTGCAGGAAGGGTCACACAAGCTTATAAGCAGTGAGGTTACTCAAATCTACAGCGAGCGAGTATTTGAGTCACTAAGGCAAAACAAAGCCGCTTCAGGATTAAACTTCCGTTCCTTGATAAAACTGTTTTAATTCTACCAGTCCAATTCTTCTCCTCCTAGATAAAAATATCGATGACTTCACTTCATTATTGCATCATTATGCTATTTAAATTTATGACTAACTCAACTGGCTTATAAAAGTCAATAACCATAACTTGCAGAACAACAAACTTAAATACTCAAATTACGATCGTGCAATGGGCCTTTGTCACACGGCGGCCATTTTGTCCCGAGAGACTAAAGTAGCTTTCTTTTACCTGTCCAGCCAAGCACCCAAGTTTTTCACTGCGAGGTCGAGGGTGATAAAACAAAGCTGTTTCAGTCTCTCGGGACAATATGGCCGCCGTGCGAATAAGGCATATAGGCCATTTGTACTATGGCGTCACTTTACTACTACGACCAGAATCCTTTTCGATTTTCTTTTCAAGTTTAAATTTGGTAATCCCAGAGAGGTTAAAATAACAAAAGCCCTAATTTGCACAAGAAAGCAAAAAACTGTAGGATTCTGTTCGTACTAGTCAAATGGCGTCGTTATGTAAATGGCCCGTGCAATTGTCTAATTTTCACTCAGTGTCTGGATTTATCTAGTTATTTATTTGTTTTTCAAATTAACAAGACATAATTTGTTCCACTTCCACACTGATGATACTTCTCCGTTCTTTTTCTTTTATTCTTTTGTTTAAGATATAACGCAGTAGTAAAGCCGCTGGCTAGCCGTTCAACACTCACGAAAACCAAGCTGAAGCTCATCATCACCGGTTGCTGGTTATTTGGGTTCTTTTGGAATATTCCTAATTTTGCTGTCAAGACTTATAGGGCGGATCTAGGGACCTGCGGTGAGCAGTGGCCTGGTCAGATCTTTCCAATAGTTTACACTTTTGGGTGGAGTGTAGTGGCTGGAATCGTACCCATTAGTTTAATGAGCTATCTGTACTCAAGAGTGGTTTACAAGCTGTGGTGTGAAGTGACGCCAGCTGTACCATCTACACCACTGGTATGCACTACTGAACAACAAAATGTTCTGACGTAACCTTAGTATAGCTGGTGGGTAATTCCTTAGAGCGCAATGAAACTTTCAGCTACCACACGGGTCTCGCTAAGGCTTTCTGAAATTCTTCGTCTTTGCTCAAAAAATAACAAATCGAACTACTTGTAAATACAACACCAAATTGTTTATAATAGTAACTTAATGCGGCAAGTTATAACTGTACGGAAAAGAAGATTCATTCATGAAAGTTTTATCAAAAATGATCATCAATGGGAAATACGACTTTTTCGAAATTTGACCTTGGTTGTTTTTGAGTATGCAAGAGATCAGCAAGTGGATTTGACCCACACTGGTACTATCGTTACGTAAACAAGGCATTCAACGCAAGACATTTTCTTAACAAAAAAAAACAAGGGAACAGACTAAAGTAGCCGACGCTATGGCTTCAGTGATGATCACTGAGTGAGGAAACGATTTCCTTTGTGAATTATATCTAAGTCCAGCTATAAGGGAAGACCGAAATTCACTGAATCAATTTCTAAATGCATTGGTAATACTAATAAGCCAATTCAGCCACTAGAAAACGTCATGGTTGCTTAGTGAAGACCTGCGGTAAAAGGTCAAACCATGGCCTTTACTAACAAATAAGACCATAACGAGACAAACGAAAACCTTTCATAACAAAACAAAAGCTGAAAATGATTTACGCTGGTGTTACCAAAAGTGTGTTTCCTTAGCTGGTTAATCCCTATCCTTTTCTTACTTACTCGACCTCTTCATCCCGTCTAAGACATGCAGCCGCAATAAAACGTCGCCAATGAAACCTGTCCTGTCATTGCTGGCCAGCGTTTTTCCCAGTGTTAGATCGAACTCCTCCGGCTCTTTCATCACTGTTCTCTGCCAAGTTGTTTTTCACCGGCCTATTTTCCTTTTTCTAGTTGGAGTCCATCCCAAAGCAACTTTGGGTACCCTGTCACTGGGCATCTTTATGACAAGACCAAGCCACCGCAGCCAACGACTGTGATTCTTGATTCTTGATCTGTCTTCTTATGCATTTTCTCATTAGTAATCTTGTTGGTCCTTTGGATATTACAGAGGCAGTGGTTATGAGAGAAATCGACCTTTTTCATATCTCCTTTCGTTTCTCTCCAGCGCTCAGAGCGATACTAAAAGACAACCTTAACATTGCTGTTGTAAAGCCTGATCTTATAGTTTTGGGGCTGTTTTGCTTAGACGCCCAGATGTTGCACCTCTGGATTTGTTAGGCGAGACCAAAAGCCATAATAAGGCCATGATTATGGTTTTTGGCGGGACTTCATGTCTTTATGGGCACCCTTTTTCCTACTTAAAAGGCTTCCAATATAGGTAAAATTTTCAATGCACTCCAGTTCCTCCCCACTGATGGTGATTGGGAGTGATGTAGGGGCATGCGCGTACATCAACCTAGGTCTTTCTAAGGTTGATAAACAGACCGGTTTGCCTTGAAAAATTGCTTAGTTCGTCATATCTTTCCTGGAGTCCATGGAGACGATCTGAGGTTGCTTCAAGCATCAGCCAGTTGATGGCTACTTGAAACAAGATTGAGAAAGAATACAAACCTGTCTTTCTCCAGACTTGACGGTGAATGACTCTGTCGGAGCATTCTTCAAGATGACACTACATTCATAGTGTACATAATTTCCCTATGATAGAAACAATGTTAGGTGGTCATCCGCATTCCCTCAGGATCCTTCAAAGACTCTCACATTGAACACGTAATTTCGAAATCTTTCTCAAAATCAATGACGTTGATAAAAAAGGAAACATTCTACTCAGTGCATTGCTTAACAATGTTCCGGATAGCAAAAACTCGATCTATGCAGCCTCGGCCTTTGCGAAATCTAGTCTATTACTGCCTCAACTCAGGATCTATGGCACTGTCAATCATTTTGAGAAGTACTCTACAGAAGACCTTGCTGGGGATGGACTGAGATGTCATGCCCTGCCAGTTGCCACAATTACTGAGATCCTCCCTCTTTGGGATCTTAAATATAAGCCCAATGAACCAGTCTTTAAAAAACACTTCACGATTCCAGATCTTAGCAAAGAGCTCGGTAAGCACCAAGGATGCAGTGATGGTATCTTCCTTTAGTTATTCTGCTTGAAGCGAATCAATTCTGAAGCAATTCCACTTGGGCCAGAGAGGGTTGGTCAGTGTTAATGTTGAGATCGTTTTAAGGGTCATCAGGCTCTGACAGGTTACGCACTTCTTTGAAATGCTGAATCAGTCTTTCAGCCTTTTCCCCTTTCAGATGTTATCACTTTCCCTTCCTTATCTTTAACTGGCTTGGTGCAGGTGTTACTTTGTCCACGAAACTGAGTAGTGATCCCGTACACAGTGTTGAGGCCTCCCTTAGCTGCAGCCTTCCTTGCTTCACTAGCTAGCTCCTCCACACCACTTGAATGTGCGTTATCTTTCCCTGAGAAAAAGGATAGTTGAGCCATTGCGTGTCACTCTATACCTCCAGACCAAGTCCATCGCGAACATGGTGCGCACATTCCATGCTCCAATGCAGATGGTAGTTCGGGTTCCCAAAAAGCTCTAATTCAAATTCCGGACTTCCTGAGTTGGGCTTTTATTCAGAATTGTCATGGAGCCACTTTTTTCGTTAGAGTTTGCTAGCTAGTTTCCTGGACCCAGCGTTTCTGTGGATAGTGTTGTTGCAGTTTTGGTAACAAGTTGTTGTTTTGTTGGGTGGGTTTTCTAGGCCCATACACCACCCCTAACCTGTTAGGACCAGGCGCTGCTTTTAGTTTGTCCTTTCAGTCTTTTGTAACCAGCCCGTCTTGGTTGGACCTGCCTGGAGCTTAGGCCTCGCCTGTATTACAGCAGTGCCATTACGGCACGCAAGCTCCCCCAGCACGAGACGGTAACAGCGCACCAAACATTAAAGAAACTGCCAAATTTATCGTAATTCTAACAGTAGGAACTGTCACCAAATTGAGTTGAGTTGAAATAGTTTTTTAGTAAGATCATGTATTGATAACGAATTTTAGCGCTCGATGAGTCTTGTAAATGAGATCGATGACGTTGTATATATTTTAACAGTTTTAAGCTTTTTTATATTTATAGGATGTTATTATTTATTTAGGACTCACTATTGTAAGATTCTGTTATATTATATTATATATTATATTGTAAATACACAATTCAGCTTAGTAGCTGCAAGCTTTTTACAAATAAACTATCTATCTCTATCTATCTAACTTGAACATAAAAAAGGCCGTTCAGAACATGAAAAGAAGGTATAAACAAAAAGGCAAATACAAAAGACGGCACGAATGACCAAACTTGAGGGAGATTAAAAAGGATTCTAGTTCATCTAAGAGTTTTGAAAACCTGTCAGCCTAAAAAGTTTTTTAAGTTCATCTTTGTTCTTTTTAACGTTTGATGTACGGCTGGGGAAGCATATTCGTTGGACAAAAAGCTGGGATTTTTCCGTCGTTTAACAGTTATTTCTATTTAACAAATAAGAAAACGTAATGATATAAATAATCTGAGCTACAAAGCCGTGAAAAAGCCTCTTCAAATGTCAGATCATGAACTGATTGTACCGATGTCAGTGATGCTTTAAGAATTAGCTCCTTCTCACCCTGGGGGAATATAGCACAAACATTGGTCATAAATCAGATGTAAATGCTGTCGGGTTGTTCATAAAGTCGGCTGGATGCGTGACATTAGACACTGATCCAAATCCCTCTTTTGCAGAGAAAAGCCACATTGGCCAAAAAGAAAGCTACTATAGCGGTGATAACGGTTAGTATAATCTACACTATTTGTTGGGTGCCAGTCTGTGTGATGTACTGCTTGATACAATTGTCACCGCACTTGATGTTACTTAGCTACCAACACAAAGTCACCATACTTCTGGCCATGTTCAACTCCAGTGTTAATCCAGTGGTTTACAGCTTCACCAGTGCACGGTTTAGAGAACATGTCATAAACCTGTTTAGATGTAAATGCTGTCGCGTTGTTCTCAAAGTCGAGTGGATTCGGGACAATAGACACTGGAGCCCCAGTTCCCCAGGTCAACCTCAGTGAATACCAAGAGACAGTCCGAATATTACTTTATAGCACTTGTGGTGAAAACAAAGAGGAAAATAAGTGATTTCTTGGTTATAAGAAAGGAAACCTACTGCTGCCGATTATCGGAGCATGACGGTGTCCAACAAGAAAGCCCTTGCTACTTAGAAACTGTACACAAAAAAACTTAATGTCTTTCAGTTTAATGATTATTTATCAGCTAATTTGTTCTCCTGCTTACGTACACTTGTGTAAATGCCTCACATAGTGTGAAATACAGAAAGATTGATTGAAACAATACTGCTCCGTGTAAGAGCCAAAAGGAATTAAAGAAACTACAAATTCTGTAAGCGTAACTTACATCCAATGCGCGAAAATAATTTAACCTTTTCTCTTGATAGGACTGAAAGGATTAAACAACTCAGCCTACTCTCTTCCAATCACCACCCAGCCCTCACCCCTCCCCACTTGAAAAAATGTTTTGCCATCCCTGTAAGTACATACTAGAAGGAACCATACAAGATATGTACATAACAGCATAATCCAAGATGGTTTCTAGAGACATAATTTGTGCCATTTTTGTGACAAAAACAAGGATGTTGGAATGCTTGCTTTTGCTACAAATTTGTCTCGATTCATTTTCAATACTCATTAGGTGTTTCCAGGGATGTCACTAACATTTTAGTTGCTGGGTAAAAACAACAATTAGGTGGGGGGAAAACAGCTGGGGATTTCTTTGGGCGCTATGTTTCTTCTATTTTCGACCTATGAAATTAGCCGGGGGCCACATTCACAGAAGCCGGAGGAAATGCCCTGCCCCCACCTATTAATGACTGCCCTATGTTCCAGTAACGTTATAATGATGACAGTGAGGAATTCTAGTTCTCAGTTTGCTAACCGACTTTTGGGACTCCACCGCTCCTGTAGGAAAATTAGATGAATTGAACGGTAGTATTAGGTGCAATTTGATGCCCCATAAACAGAACAGACCCATGTGTCCACATTAAAGAGGTGCCCATCATTGCACTCTTCAAAGCAGAAATTGATGGTTGCAATTTAAATGAGTCATCCAAGTAAATCCAAATCTTCACTGCCTTATAGGCGAAAGATCATTGTCCCGAAGCTGTTTTGAAAAGTGGGATTTCGGGGTTGCTACGGTTGCACGTCAACCTGTCGTGAATATTTGTTCTCTGTAATAAGTTGGAGCAAAGGTAACCAGGTGCAAGATTATCAGAACATTTGAAAGGCATAACAGCGTCTCGAAGGTATAACTGCTGTTTTACAGGGAGCCAGTGGAGCTGACATTGAAGCGGGTTTACATGGTCAAATTTTCTCGATCCAGTGATTATCTTAGAAACAAAGTTCTGAATTGACTGAAATTTCTGTAAGTTAGAGACTGAGGAACAATAAAACATCTTACCGAACACTACTGTTGTGATCATTATTGAAAGTGTTTCCTTATTGACAATGTTTTTAACTCAATTGATTTAAACTAACTTAGCTAAGCAAGATGAGACAAACTGAGAGATATGATTATCATAAGTGAGATGTGAGTCTAATATCACACCCAGGTCCTTAACTTAGGTTAAGGGAGTCAACGTCATACCAAGGAATAACACCATTGGGCTAGTAAGCTGTCTGCCCATGAGTTGCTTAGTTCCAAGAAGCATAAACTTCGTTTTGTCTGGGTGGATTATCAGGTGGTTTTCACAACACCAAGTGGTTAATGCGATGTTAGTGCTTCCCAATGGAAATGATAGAAATAACTTAGAGTCATCAACGTACGACTCCAGACAACATTATTGTGGTGCATTAGTTGGGTCGTTCAAGTAAATGCAGAAGAGTAAAGGAGATAAAATGGCACCCTACGGTACCCCGTGGGCGATTGGTAGCGCATACAGCTGTATGCGGTACAGTATACTGTACTTGTATACTGTATGCACAGTATACAGCTGTTTCAAGAAAGGTTGTCAGAAGAAATGCGCATACGACAATCCCGAAAGGTAATATGGGATATGACCAATACACTGTTTGTAACGCCTGAAGCTGTTGAACCTACTTTTGTTGCTTTCCTTTAGTACTAACAAACATATGTCAGTGGCTTCGCGTACCATTCTTTCAAATTTCTTTGAAGAACAGAGCCCTCAAAGCCACCCACAATACCTTTCGGGATTGTCGCGTGTACTTTTTCCGACAACCTTTCCCAAAATAGCTGTAGATCCAATACGAACTGCTTAAGAGTAGCCTGACAAATAGCTCTTGAACCACTTTAATGTAGCAGATGCTGCGCCCAAAGCGGAGATCTTGTAAAGCAATCTATCATGAACAATGCTGTCAAAAGCTTTTGAAAATCGAGCAGAATCAAAGCAGCGATTTTTTTTGTCTACGTCCTTCAGTATATGGACAAATGATACAAGTGTCAATCCACTAATAAAAATAAAATGAGTTACAGTATAATTTTTGAGAAAAAAGCTTATTAAATAGTGGTGTGCCAATCATTCACTATAATGATCATTGATCGAAATCTTCACACAAAGTGATGATTGTGGGGAAGGTTCAATCAATTATCAAGGGAAAAAGATTTTTGTTGGCAAATTCAAGCAGGCAGTGAAAAAACTGCAAGCTACTACTCCACAGTCAAAATGTTATGTTCTTTGACTTTCGCAAAGGTAAAAAAAAAATGGAATCCAGAGAGGTTTTTCTGATTATAATCGATGATCAATCAGGTGGGTCAATCCAATTATCTTTGAAGATCGATTATGAAATCTCAACTTATTCCCAACACTACTATTAAGATTGCTTTGCAATACACAAATAACATGTCATTATGTAGCATAAGTGTTAAGCAATGTATGAAGTAAACTCATCATTCAACTTTTGATTTCTTTTCTTTTGGTTCATAATTGTCACCCTCGTCATTGTCATCAACATTTTGCTCCTTGCTGTGGCCAGTACAACCCTCACTAATGTCTCCTTCTTCTTTATTAGAGAGCAGCTCAGCTGGTTCCTTCAGTAGTTTTCCTGAAATAACTGATCTTTCTGTGCCTTTTCTAGCATCAGCATGGAATAAAACATCCCTACAGTTCTTTGAGATGGTTGCTTTTGATTGTTCCTCCTTCAAATTAAACAATAACCCGAGATTAATGATATCTTAAGGCCCGCGAAAGTCAAGCTCGTTTACTGCCCCACTTGAAATAATAATGTTCTTTCCTTTTGCAAAAACAACCAAGTCCAAAGCAGTAGAAATTAGATTTTTTCTCTGGGATGAGTCTCTTATTGCAGGCGAATAAACAATCTCAAAATGTATTCCTCGTTCAATTGCTGCATTTACTGTAGGGAATTTCAAGTAGAATGGAAGGCGTTCTGTCATGTCGAGTGAAATTATATCAACATCTAGCGTTTTCTTGCTGGAAAAGCTTCTCTATGGCCGGTTGAACTGCTAAGATATCATGGGATTGTACGGGATCACTGGACAGTTGATGCACCTGGCTTTGGTCGTCTAGCTGTACAGTTAACCGTGTATAAACTTTCAATCGTGGGTTCATTTTCTTCATATCCTGTATCGCTGGGTAATTATCCAAGTTGACTGGGGTCAGTTTCGCGGCGCTCTTTCTTTCTTTTTTCACAGTTTCAAGGCGAAAGGTTTGACAAATAGCGATTGTTTCTAAACCAAGTTTGACAGCCTTAGAAACAAGTTTCTCTGTTTCACGTGGGTTGTTCAAGCAAGTAACATCAGGGGCACCCAACGTCGATTTTCGGAAAATATCTGTTCGGAAGACGATTTGAATTCTAGAATTTTCGGAACATTTGTTGTAAAACTTCTTCCTTGCCTGCCTCTCTTAGGATTTTCGAACATCTAAAAAATTGTATAATTGCCCGTTTTTAACGGATTTTCACCTTAAAAAGGTCACCTAGACTTTTCGGAAGCCTTTTTTCTGGCTGAAATATTCGAAAAGGTAAGTTTTGATCCCTATAATTTTCGGATCACTGGACTTTCAGCTAGGAAATCCGAACAGATGGAAACTTTTTAGGGGATACAAATATGCCTATATCTACCGTTTAAATATTAAAATACGTTCAACAATGCTATGTTTAAGTGGTTTTGAACTATATTGTCGTTGGGTGCCCCTGTAACATTGAGATCCGCAAAAGCCGCCATTTTGGTAAATGCGTATGTGACGACTGCTGACCAGTTTTACTGTCAAACATATAATTTCATTCTGTTCATTCCCAGTATCCTTCTCGATGTTGAATGTTGACTATGCGTTTAAAGAAATTGCCATGAAATGAGAAATAAATGCTTATTTATCGTGATTATCGTTATTTGTTGTTTGCCTGCACCTGATTACTTTCGACAATACGTCTTTTGGTCTTAGTCAAGAGCCATTATGGCTCTTGTCTTAGCGGATTAGTGCATTGTTGTGCCACTGACTTTCAACCATGATCTTTTCACCAGAGGAGCCGTAATACCGTGTAGCATGAAAATTTTGCGGGTTCTAATTTTTGCGAATTTTGCGGATTGACCTCGATCCGCAAAAATTTGTTCCCGCAGAAAAAAAAAACCCTCAAAATAAAACGCCGCAAAAATTAACTTCCTTCAATAAGAAACCTTGACATTACAGAACTGAATGCCTGCAGGCTAACCGTGCTGCATCAACCAGATCCTTTCAAAGTGTTGACCGCATGCATCCAGTGCCAGGGCCGGCTATCTGTATAACCTGCGATCTGGCAGTCCTAAAAGCAGGCCTCTAATGGCAGGTTATGGCTATCTGCGGCTCTATGCGCTAAAAATCCATATTTAATGTGAATTTTAAAAGTTTTTAAAACTTATGTAATATTCAGTTACTGCAATTCTTTTTAACAGTGACTCTGTTGTCATTTCGCAAAGAGCTTAGTAATGTAATACTGTCACGTCAGTTGTGTGGTATTTATAAATACAGCGGAACCCCACCTTACGTCCACCTCGGTAAGTACGGTCAGCTCGTTATTAGGGCCACTTTGTTTTGGCCGCCTGGCAAAAACCACCATACATTTTCTTGTACTTACCCTCGTTAATACGGCTATCCCGTTAATACGGCCAAGATGGTGAATTAGATAATTCACCATTTTATTTTTGTTTTCTTTCTTTATTTCAGTCCTGTCACTATTCGTGCCCTAACGATCAGCCTACTGCTCCAATTTTAAAATTTGCTAACGATAATCTACGTTCTTGACTACCAAAGATTCATAAATTAAACATACTTTGTACTGTCAACTCATCCCTCCCATATCTTCTCGCAGTTTCCCTGCCCTCGTCCACCTTGGCTTGTTTGCGCGTCCGACCAAAACCGCCATGCTACGCAGACTATTGCTGTCCCTCTCACCATTTTCTGAGAAAAAAAATGGGTTGGGTCTGGGGTTGGGCAGGAGTGGTGTTTCACTTGAACCCAGTTATCACCCTGAGCACCGGCGGTTTTTTCCTCGCGTGCGACGGGAATTTTTGGTGTCGGCCGAACTCCGAAGATCTCCACGTGGGTCACTGCACGATATTAAGACTTAACAGAACCGGAAAGCGCCCATGAAGTCTCTTACACCCACCGAAGGTTACTAGTTCTCAGTTGAACGCGACCAGTTTCTTACCATCGCAAAGATTAAACTTGAATAAATAATTTATTATCAAGAAAACAGTGATCCGCCAACTAAAATACAAAATCCTGAAATTGTACCACACAGTATATCAGGTGGGGGGAATATCCCACGGGGAAATTCTTTTACCAGGACACTTGACTGCAGGAAAAGCCACTCTCGATCTCCGCTCGAGGGGAGCAGGGATGGCGCAGTGGTGAGAGCACTCGCCTTCCACCAATGTGGCCCGGGTTCGATGCCCGGACTCGACGTCATGTGTGGGTTGAGTTTGTTGTTGGTTCTCTTTTCTGCTCCGAGAGGTTTTTCTCCGGGTACTCCGGTTTTCCCCTCTCCGCAAAAACCAACATTTCTAAATTCCAATTCGATCCGGAATGCGCGAGCGTTTCGATACATGAGCCCCTGGCTCGGGAGATTGGGCAACCACTCCTCACGCTATCGAGCTTAAATAAAATTGATTTGATCTGATTTGATTTGGTTTTTTCTCCCTTTTCCCCTTCTTTTCCCTTTCCTTGTGTCGCCTGCCATGCATGTCATGCATACCCATTTATTCTTAGCGCCAGCATGCTACGCAGGCTATGGGATCAGCGTTACTGTAGAAAGTACAACATACCCGACTTTACACGTCATGGCTGTTGTCATCAGGTAAGTTGAAACGTAATACTACTAAGCTGAAACATCAAAACAGACTATTGCGTGTCGTTAAAATCATTGAGTGTATTGTACTTTCGTTACTTCGACTTACAGAGAATAACATGGGCGGCTTTTTTCGTATCGTATTTTACACCATTCTATCATTTCATCACACGTGGTCAAAAGGTAAGTGGTTCATTTATGTCTTAGTAGCTCATAATTTCAAAATAAAGCTCCTGTTATCATGTTTTTAATCCCTCTTTAATTCATTCAACGGGAATGAATTGAGAAGTCTACATTTAACTAAAGCTTCAAAGATAGAATGCGCATTGCTGTGGGATCTGATTTAAGTAGGGAAACATGGGATGTCAGGGATAAGTGTTAAGCGGGCTTCTCTTCGTTGAATTTTCCTATCAGTAGTTTGCGTCGTCGACATTTATCGGAGTCGTTCAATTATCAACGCATAATATATTTTCAAGAAGCTTGAAGATTTGAGTTACACGATTCCCATCATGGTTTAATTAAAATTTTTTGTGAAAATGAATTTGTCTTGGACTTCCTCCAGAGCAGTAGCTTGCATGCGGTGAACGTGCTAAAATGTCACGCTGTCTGGCGCGCACATGCTGAAGTACGTCATAAGATTTAATATACTCTAGGAATTACGAAGTTACGAGGGGCCTTTGATAGGTCTACTTTAGAGATTGGGACTCAATTTGTTGTGACAAATGTTGATGGTGACACGTGCCCGGAACTTTGGAACAAATAAAATGAAACAGAATAAAATCCGGAATAAAATCAAATAAAATTAAATGTTTAACTGCGTAGCCTCCCCGGCCGCAGACGTCCTTTGGGGTTCATTCGTCACGCATTCATTGGGAATGAATGCGTGACGAACGAACCCAAAGGGACATCTGCGGGGAGGCTATTAACTGCGCTACCCTACCCTCATGTAATGAGTTTCGGTTTCCACAAGAGAAGAAATAAAAATTAAACCTCGCACCCGGTGAAGGGGATTAATTGATGAAAAGGAAAAGTAACTGAGACCAATCTTTGTTAAAGGAGCTGTTAACTTATAGGGACAAAATCTTAGAACTACAACGATCTAGGAAGGCAAATCGTTCAAGAGTCACATGTTTGCGGTTTTCAATCTGTTAAATGCTAGCTGAGAGAGATGAAAGATTCAGGCGCTAAGAAGTTCGAGGTGTCACCATGTTGAGGGTGGCCTTTGGTAGATTCTAGAAAAATCAATTCATCATTATGAGGCGAGAGACAACCGCCGGAAGCAAGATGACTGGGCTTGGCACATTTTACCAGCCTCCCACCAACTAACCACGTAAACCAAACGAAAATCTCTTCCGCTTCCTTTTATGATATTTTCTAATGCTAGGACTTCCTCTTTCCATGTAAAGAGTTTCAAAGTCATTTAACATTAGGCTTAGCTCATTCACTGCAGTCTTTACTAACTTTTTAATTTGTGAACCTAACCTTTTGATAATGCAAGTTTATCATTTATAAGAAATTAGGTTTTTTTGCATGCTGCAATGGTCATTCCTCTTATTTTGAAAGTTTGATTTGATGTCAGATGATTGCAACCACCCCCTCGGAATGAGTGAATCAGACAAGAGAATCCCGGATGAGAGTATTACGTCATCGTCCAAGTTAAGCTCGAATCACGCTCCTTCTAACGCAAGATTGAACGGACCGAGGGCCTGGTGCTCCGCTCTAGATGATAACTCGCCTTACATACAGATTCGTTTTGTTAAGGAAAAGTTGATTACTGCAATAGAAACTCAAGGAAGCGCTCCTGACAACAGTTGGTCAACTAAATATGATGTCCATTACTTGAAGAAAGGGAAATGGACACTGTTCAAAGAGGTAATATGGCTTAGTACTGCATTTTACTCTCTGCCCCGGGTATATCTCAAGAATTTGCAATTTTTGTAGTTTACAGTTAATTACCCATTCCAAGAACGAAACCTTTCTGTAATTTACCGTAACTAGCAGCTTGAACGAGAAGATAAGAAATTAAAAATATTTCTCATCTCCTGGGCCAAAAGACTGACCAGGACTAGTCAAGGGTTTTGGCCCGTTTTCAAGGTAAAATGGAACTTTGCATAATTCAGGAAAATCCTCACAGGGCTGAATATACAACAAACACGTTCAAAAGAAAAAAAAACTTTTTTCCCACCATCATTGCCGCATGATCCAGTACACATTTACTACCCGGAAATCGAAGGGCGAAGTAGGTACGTTTGGTGCGATTGTGTCGCTGTTTGTTATTATTATTATTATTATTATTATTATTATTATTATTATTATTATTATTATTATTATTATTATTATTATTATTATTATTATTATATATTACTATTTTCTTTGTTTTTTAGCAGTTGAAAGAAACTTTTGAATTTTAGAGGTTGACAGTTTTTTTTTTTATTGAAATGAAATGTTTTTTAATTCGAAAAAATTTTTCTTAGTTTTAATTAACTTATTTAACTTTTGAATTTTAGAGGTTGACAGTTTTTTTTTTTTATTGAAATGAAATGTTTTTTAATTCGAAAAAATTTTTCTTAGTTTTAATTAACTTATTTTTAAGCTAAATTAAGTGCTTTTTAAATCGACAGATTTTTAAATTTTTTTTAATTATTATTATTATTATTATTATTATTATTATTATTATTATTATTATTATTATTATTATTATTATTATTATTATTATCATTATCATTTCTTTCGTTTTGCACGAGGATTCACGGTTGTTTTAGCTTGTTGCTAAGTCCTCCATCCAAAACTAGTGGCAGAGATTGCAAATCTACCCTTTTACCAAGACGGGACTCGTGCAAATCGCGATGAAACTCATGCTCTTTTGGTACGTCCATAAAAACTAGCTGACAAACATCTTGCTTTGTAAAATGTGCTACAATTTTTGGCCGGTTTGATCATTTTTAAAAAGTGTCGGTGTAAAGAGAAGGATATCTGCTTTGTTTATACTTCCACTCTGGTATTCAGTACTTGAAATGTGTGGTAATGAATAATAATGATTCAGGTATCAGCTCATACAAGTGATCAGTCAGTCTTATTTGCTCTAATTTAGGGGCTTACTGGTAATAGACACCCTAACAGACTGCAGAAGAACAGCTTCAAAGCAACAGAGCAGTTCAGGACAAATTCCATTCGTATTTATCCCAAAGAGCCATTTGCAAAGTTTCAAAAACTAACACCTGAAGTTCCTTGCCTTCGACTGGAGCTCTACGGATGTACAGCACCAGGTAAGTTATCCGATTATATGTGATTTGTTTGTAATCAAACAAACAGCGTTTAATTGCATTTCTCAATCTCATTAATAATTCATCAAGTGATAAACCAATTGCGTGCCCGCATTTAGGTCACATTGATGCACCTTGATACCGCGGTAAAGAACAGCGTGTTTGGATATGATATCCAAACACGTGTGTTTGGAAATCAATTAGAAAAAGCAACACACAACTTAAACAAAGCTGTATTACTTCTATTGTTTGCTGTTTTCATTTACGTCTTTCATTTCTGCGTCTAAGCATCGACGAAAAATAGCAAACCTGAAAAGTAGTAAATCATAAATTTCGTAAACATTCTAAGTTTCTATATCACATAAAGCACACTAGATTAAAGTATAACTTCTCCAAACTTACCTCTTATCACTGCTGTCTAAAGAATTCAATGCATTCCCTCCATTTACGTCCTCCAAATACCGCTTTAAGCCACAAACAATTCCATACAAGGAACGAGACGGATAGCGACCACTGTTCTTATTAGCAACTTCTTGGACGAATTTTGTGAGCCAATAGTTTAGGGAAAGACTATCCAGGCCCTCCAACTTCTCTTCGAGACTTTGCACACCGTGAACATCATAATCTTTGAACACGCTTGCCACGTCAAGTATACAGAATTTTTGCTCCCGCGTTGCTTGCCAAGTTCTGAAAACCTCAACGGCCCACCTGTCTTTATGCTGTGTTCTTGCTTGGACTGTACAAGCAAAGAACCTTCTTCTTGCACACTTTTGGGCGGTCGAAACCGGCAAGATTCATCCTCAGCTAACCCGTCCATGTTTCGGAACTAGCAGAACGCCACTGAATGCAAATTGTGAGTACTTGAAATAAACAAGCTTTGGTTGTGAAAAACACGGACATTATCATCACAAACTATGCCCTGATTAAACAAAAGAAGAAGGCAAAAATCACATGCTCATGTGGTTTTTGCTTTCTTTTGTTTTCTTTTTTTCTTTTGTTTGCAATCAGGCGCCGATTGAGAAGCCATTACAAAAACTCGTGCTTCGTGTTTTACCGGTGTTTCCAAACACTCGAAAACAATAAAATGGAAACCCTGGTAAAACACTCGCACTCGTTTTTGAAATATTACTTCCTCGAGTAAGCGACCTTGCTCTCATCAGCGTCTTCCCTTAATAAGAGGTTACTTCCCTTAACTATCAAATACGCCAACCATTCAACAAGCGCCCTGCACTATTTTCAATCCTTTTTTATTATTATTTGATAAGTCGTTATATCACTTTTGGGAACAGATTTTCCTGTTCGTTATTAAGAGTATCCTTCTCGAATAAGCGTTACACTTGTTGACAAGTGCCGCCTCAGGCAGTAAAACACAACTCAGCTAGGTCTCACAAGTATGTAAAGTCAGATCTAGAACTAAAAAAACATGGCGGGTGCTACACACATGTCATATATAGTTTCCAGGCCCTTACGATTCCAACCGACTCGCGGGCTCATAGCAATATAATATCAACAACACCCTCCCCCACCTCCTCGCTGAAGTAAAATTAAGAAAACAACAATCGAGGAGGAACCCAGAAGATTGTAAAGTCCCAGAAAATTAAACGAACGGCGATCAAGGGGAGTTCATGAGTGTACTAAAAAAGTTATACTACTGTAGCACTCAAAGCATCTATTTGTATTAAAAGAAATCCTTGAAGGCTGGCTGTATGATGTAGATTGTTGAATAAAATATTATTCATTATTCTCAGCAATTTGCAAAGATCCTGGAATTCCACAACATGGCGTAAGGCAGGGTAATGATTTTGAACACGGTATAGCAGTGAACTTCACGTGTAATGCCGGGCTTACTTTGGTCGGTAGCAAGTCAATCAAGTGTCACAATGGAATTTGGAGCTCAGGTTTACCTCAATGCAAAAGTAAGTTGATTTGAATGGTAATAGTGGTTTGTAAACGTAGGGTTTGCTTTTGTACTCTTTTGCAACGGCATAAAAAATATTATTTTACATTTTTTCAACCCACACCTCGAGGGTGCGAGATGAAAAGTTTAAAAAGAAATAGAAGTGTCATCAATCACCTAACCCTTCACCGACATTTTAAGTTTTATAACTAATACCAATTTGTCTTTAGCTACTTGCAGGAATCCTGGAGTCCCGCAAAATGGAAGGAGGCGACAAAATACGTTTATTGATGGCGACTCAGTTGAATTTTTCTGTGATGTAAACTACACGTTGATTGGCTCGTCTGTTATCCGCTGCATTAAGGGAGTGTGGAGTTCAAGTGTTCCGACTTGCAAAGGTGTTATAAATTAACATTCTTTTCCGCTCCCCGTAAGAACTATCGTAGAACCATCATACTTTTAAGCATGCCAAATAAACAACCGAACCTAAAATCATTTCTTTCGTCAGAGATAATAGGCCATTTGCACTAAGAGGTCATGTGACATCATTTTCATGAAAATGAAAGTTATATGACTTTGCCTTCAAAAAACCATTAGTGGGTCATGTCTTAAACAAAATAATAGTGATTACGTTTTTCAAACCCGAACCATTTTCTTAAAATGAGTCAGTTCGTAGCTGGTCACGTGACCAAAATGTGATTTTATTTAAAAACGATGAATTACCTCTTTCTGGACAGAAATTTTGCACTTAAACTTCAAGGAAATTGTTGAAAAGATGATGTGGTAACGTTTTCAGCACATCTGAGTGTGACTATCAAACGTTTAACAAGATACAAGCAAAAAGCAGTTTTGGCCGCCATATTGGAGGGCAAGAGTATGCCCTCCAACATGGCAGCCAATACAAATCATACCACTTTGTTTTGTGCCACAAAATATCTCCTTTAAATGCCTTTTCTCGCAAATTTCGGGTGTAAGATAATTTTTATGCCCTCCGTCAATTTTTGGCATCAGCAAGATTCCAATTTATTGTTTAAAAGAAGCATTGGTCACGTGACCTCTTAGTGCAGGCGGCCTATTATTCGTTATGGTCCGTCGCGGTGGATCTGAACTAAAGTAGACATCAGCTGTTGTTCTAGATTTTCTTACACCCTTGTGTAAATTTAGTGTGCTACAATTTTGAGATCAGTGATGATATGCTGAAGTATCGGTGTACTCTAACCAGTGTTGTTTATTTTTCTTCCCTTTTTTTAGCTTCTTGTCCAGATCCCGGAGTACCGCAAAACGGGCAGAGGGTTGGCACGAGTTTTGGGCACGGCAAACACCTTCAGTTTTATTGTAGTTCAGGTCATTGGTTGGTTGGAAGCCAGCTGATCGTTTGTAATGAAGGCAAATGGAGTAACGACATTCCCACGTGTAAAGGTAGATTTTCTACAGTGAGAACGCAACGCGACATTGTAGTGTTTTTGGGAAGAAGAGTATAAATTTTGTGTTGTCAAGTTAAGTGATAGAATTAACAAGCACTCTTAAAAGCAGACAGAGTAATACCATCTCAAGAAGAAAGACAACATTTTTTTTTGTTTTCAGTGCAAGGTGTGTTTCCTTGTTATAACTAGTCCCATCATTATTGTTTTGAAATGATTCAGTTAAGAACAAGGGTTCATTCAATCACAGTCCCTAAATCAGAAAATAAAAGATGTTAAATTGTTCAGTACTAACCATCCTCGGAACTTTCGGAGTCCATCTGATTTCAACGAAATTCTCTTCCAGAATAGTCCGTCATGGTTAGTCATCGTTTTAGATTACGCTTTGCAACGTAGCTTAACCAGAAAGAGGGGCGGAAGGGAAGGAGGGGGGGGGGGGGGGTGGGGTAGGGGGGGGGGGGGGGGGTTGAGATACTGCTAAAGGGTTCTCCTTCAGTAGCAGCTTCTCGCCAAACCAATTGGCTTGACAAAACATTGATTGACAGCTAAGCACTATCCATTTCTCTCCTTTAAGGGGTGAATTTGGCTAGATATTCGTATTCGTATTCATTTTTGTTTTTTAGATTGTTTTACGATGCTAATTGCCGTGCCGTGTTTCTTTCCTAGCACTTGTAAACGCTTATAAACGCCTCCGAGAAGGCATATTATTTTTTCACGAGCCTGAGTTTGAGATGAGTTTGGTAATTTTTGCCCTTATAATTAACCCTTTTTTATCAGCTATGTGTAGAGATCCTGGTATCCCTCGCAATGGGATAAGAATAGGCGATGATTTTGGAGATGGTCAAATGGTAGCTTACCAGTGTGACAGCAATTTTGATCTTTTTGGTTCATCTACGTCGTTTTGTATAGCAGGAGAGTGGAACTCTACAAGACCAACATGTAAAGGTGTGTATGTCGTCATGAAATATTCTTAAAATATATTACCGTAAAGTTCCCATAGTAGCAACTCTCGTTACTTTTGGAATCAGCAGCAATGCATGAATCAGCCGATGTAGAGAAAATCGAATTCTTCTCTGACTCAGGGGCGAGGAAAGCTAAACTCAGTGCTTTAACAGTCCATGACAAAAAATGCGTTCTATAGTCAGGAGCCCTCAGGGTGATGGGTTCCTGTTATTGTGCAGTATACAGAAGTTTCAGTTTTAACTTGAAGAAACGTTCCTGTTCTTGATATGAACTTTATATCAGTGTAGTTTTTGCACTGCGCAATCTGTGAACTGACTTCAACGACGAATGGAAGTTTCAGGCATGCCATGTTTTCCTTGTTGTAAAGTGCCTTTCGTGATAAATTTGTAAATGCACGAAGATATTAGAATTGTATGTACATTAAAAATTTGACTATAGATTGCAGTTGGAAAACATTAAAGGTATGAGATTCGGTATGTTTATAATTGAAAAAACGTAGTCTCGATAGTGGGGACTCGCTACTTTCGGGGGGAGGGGTCGCAACTTTCGAGGGCTCGCTATTTTCGGGATTTATTAGAAGTCACAAACTTTTGGCGTTACTTTTGGGGGTCGCTACTATGGGAACTTTACGGTATTGTGAAAAGTTGCCTCTTATACAAAGGAAGCGAGTAATCAGAGTAACTTCAACTGAAACAACTTAAACTTTCATGTTGGTGTTCATATTTATAGCTTCCTGCTCTGATCCTGGTGTGCCTAAACATGGCCAGAGGATTGGTTCTAACTTTGGACATGGCAACAAGGTCACATTTGTGTGTCCTGCTCAATACAGTCTGGAGGGAAGCCATTCTATGACATGCCATGAGGGAAAATGGACCTCTACCCTTCCTGTTTGTAAAGGTATTATGAAGCGAAAATGAAAAGACATTCGAGAAGTACGTCAACTGTTCCTTTGTAAACAGATTCCCTGCAGCTGTAACTGTATGTGTGTAGCCAAACTTTTAAAACTTCTCTGTTTCACATTTCTGAAACAGAGAACACCTTTTCTGTGTTAGAAGGCTGTAATTAGATTGATAGAGCTTATAAAAAACATATTTTTAATCACAACAAATCAGCAGGTTTCTATGCTCGGAATTCCCTATCTGTGTGTGAAAAAGCGATCTCTTGAAATTGACAGCAACATTTTCATCATGAAAAAACATTTTGAAGCACCCTTAAAGTAATTAAGTCAATATCTGAAAGGTTAAGCTATTATCTCTTTTTACTTTCCTAACTTCCTCTACTTTCTTTAACAGATTATGTTTTAGACGACAAGAATTTATTTACCTTTCTTTCTATCTTAGCATCCTGTAAGGACCCAGGCAGACCTCAAAACGGCGTTCAGCATGGAAACGAGTTTGGTCACAACAAACACATTTCATTCTCTTGTCAGCCGGGATTCCAAATGACCGGAAGTTCCGCTGCTGTTTGTATCAATGGAAAATGGAGTGCATCTGTTCCTCGCTGCATTGGTACTGATGCATTGTTTTGCTTATTATGTATGGTTAATATATACTGATACTGTAGGTTAACTGTGTTTGCTTGCTGTACCAATGATTTTTTTAGCTATCTGTCCTGATCCTGGGGTCCCTGCTAATGGAAGTAGGATAGGGAACGACTTTCTGGATGGTCAAACTGTGGCTTTTAGGTGTGATCAAGGTCACACCCTTATTGGCTCTCAAGTGTTACAATGCGTGGCAGGAAAATGGAATGGAGTTTCGCCAAAGTGTAAAGGTATAATTTTTGCTCTAGAAGGAAAGCTTTGCAAGCAAATTTTTGTCTTACTTCTCTTAATGTTTTAATGGTAGCGCCCGGCAACTATTTTCTTGTTATTCTTTCCTTTAAAGCCTCGTGTCCGAACCCAATTGTTCCGTCCAACGGCCGTGTTCTTAATTCAAGGCCTGGTCTTAGTCGCCATGGCGACAAGGTTAAGTACGCTTGTAACTCTGGTTTCAGACTTGAAGGTTCTTCCACCATAAGGTGTAACAATGGAAAGTGGAAACCATCCGCTCCCTTGTGCAAAGGTATGAAGGTGATTATTTCATCTACGAAATAAACAAGTATGTCGACCTTATACGTTGTTATGCACCAGAGAAAAGAGGTTACAGATGTATAAACTTTGGATGGTTTCTTGACGTTTTTATGCCCGAAGAACAATTATTCGTTGATTTCCTGTTTTTGCCAAAGATAGGTCGGGTGAAGGAGATCACCTTATTTCCTCGAATAATAACCGGGGGCGATTATTATATTTTTCGCACAAAAAGGGAGCGTTGTTCGAGGGAAGGCGATAATTTCAAACATTGCTCACTGGAAGTCGAGCCCTGAATGTTTTGTTTTATTATCCCATTAAATAAAAAACGATCACTTCAAATATACTGAACATGGGCTTTTAAGTGTTCCAAATTTGGTTCCTTGATTAATTTTCAATGTCAATATCCATTATCCTCAGCGTCAGAGATTGAATCCTCACTGATCAGTTTCGCTGAATTAGACTCCACTTCAACTTGACATGGAAGGGAAAAAAGAAAGAGAAGGCGGCCAGAGGGGTGAGGGGAAGGCGATTATTCCAGGGAATCGATTATTTTAAATATTTCCATCTAAGGGGGGGGGGGGGTTGCAACAGATAATGGAGAAATCAAGGCATATGAATTAAATAATGAAAAAAAAAAAAAGTATACATAACAAAACAAAAAGAACAAATGAAGCCCAGCAATACAACTCTATGGTCCACAGTATTTGTAAGTCTCCACCTTTCTCTTCTTCTTTTTGTATTTTTTTAGTTATATATCTACTACCCTCAGATGAGAAAAAAATTCACTCCATGTTCAGTTTTGAATAATTAAACCCCACACAAAGAAAGAAGAAAGAAAAAAAAAAACAAGAAGAGGGGGGGGGGGGGGGGGGGGGGGGGATTGTTTTCGGGGGAGGTTTTTTTTTTAAAATTTCCCTGTGGGGGGGGGGGGGGGGGGGCGATTATTAATCGAGGGACAGCTATTATTCGAGGAAATACAATAAACGCAAAAATCTTCTCAGAAGAAATAAAGAAACAAAGGGAAAACTGGAAACCAACTTGTTTTCTTTCCTTTAGATGTAAACGAATGTATAGAAGGTCTGTCAAACTGTCATGCCAACGCTAACTGCAAGAATACTGCTGGCTCATTCACTTGTAAATGTAAAACGGGTTGGGCCGGAAGTGGCAGGATCTACTCAAGTAGATTGAGATTTACATGTATAGTAACCTTTACTATATCCGGTAGATTTAAATGACGGTTCTACTCTGGTTCTTGTTTGTGTGTCCTTTCTGTATGTGTTGTAGTTTTTAGACAATTTAGCTATGAGTCTGGGAGTTAATGACGAACAGTCTCAAATTATGCCTGCATTTACTAAGTAATGCTGTCTTAAGCTTATACCCAGGCTAACAGATCCAGAGTTAATGCTTATCCAGGGACACGTTTGATAAAACGCGAAGAGCTCAAAAATCGTGGAGTGAGACCCAAAGCATCGACGCACGATAAGGGGGCCCAAAATAGCAGAGGGATGACTTGCACTCGTTATTATGAGATTGCATGTTATCTCCCAATGCATGTTAATATTTTGTTAGGATTTAATTTTGTTTTGATATAAATTTAATTATTCTTTGTTCTCCTTCATGGAAATATTGTAATATGAATATGACTCTAAAAATAGCATAGTAGAGACTCCGGCAAATGGCAATGTTTCGCTTCACTTTCCAAAAAGTCCTTCGTCGGCCACAAAGGCTCGCTTCGCTCGCCAAGAGGTCGATTTGTAGCAAGTCTATGTTTCGCTGAGTCTTTCAAGTTCCTTCAATTTCTTCCAGAATTGTGTCAGGACCCTGGAATTCCACCAAACGGGGCCCGGAGAGGAAATGATTTTCGACATGGGAAGCAGCTCGGTTTTACTTGCAATAATGGTTATACCTTGATCGGGAGTCGAGCAATAACCTGCTCGGGAGGAAAGTGGAATTCAGCAACTCCGCAGTGCAAAAGTAAGTTAAAAGAATAAATAAATAAAAGGAAAATCATCGCAGTTGAAGGCGCGCTGCTTATACTGCTCCAAAGAGAAAGCCTGAAGAAATTCAGGCTTGCCGGGATTCCAACCCTAACTTCTGGTGCGGCGCTATCACCAATTAAGCTAACAAGTCAACTGAGAACTGGTTATTAAATTGGTTCGTAATATACCGGAATTGAAAGATGAAGATGAAAGCTAAATTGGTGAGAGCGCTTCATCGGTATAACAGTGGTCAGAGTTTGGTGTTATTGTTGTTGTTGTTTGCAAAAAATTATGTTGATTAAAGCTAGAAGTATTATATAACGTATCAGTCGTGCACAGAGAATGAAATATTTTGTGACTATTAAATTTATTTAGAGACTTGCGCTGATCCCGGAGCTCTACAAAACGGTCGTATAATTGGCAGTGATTTCCGTCATGGCAAAACAGTAAAGTTTCTTTGTCAATTTCGTTTTACGGTGAGAGGGGCTAGGAGCATTACTTGCAATGATGGAAGATGGAGCGGTAAAATTCCCGTTTGTACAGGTATAGTTTATATGAGCTTGTCATGAGTGTTGTGTAAATAGAACGTCGGATGTTACTTATCGCATAACAGGGGCACCCAACGAGAACATAGTTCAAAAGCACTTAAACATAGCATTGTTAAACGTATTTTAGCATTTAAACGGTAGATAAAGGCATATTTTTATCCCCTAAAAATTTTTCATGGTTCGGATTTCCGAGCTGAAAGTCTAGTGATCCGAAAATTATAGGGATCAAAACTTACCTTTTCGAAAATGTCAGCCTGAGAAAAGGTTCCCGAAAATTCTAGGTGACCTTTTTAGGGTGAAAATCCGTTAAAAATATGCAATTATACCATTTTTAAGGTGTTCGAAACTCCTAGGAGAGGCAGGCAAGCAAGAAATTTTACAACAAATGTTCCGAAAATTCTAGATCTCAGATCGTCTTCCGAACAGATATTTTCCCGAAAATTGTCGTTGGGTGCCCCTGATAATTGAATTTTTCTGGCTTTTTATCCTCTCTTGTTCAAAGACAAAATAAAATCACCACTACGAACTAATTAAGCCCAGCACCCGCATTTTTTTAGATTCTCCTCTTTTCGCTGGCACAAGCTTACATATCAGTGATGGGCAAACAGGTCTCGATCATAAAGAGTTAATTTTCACCTTAGAAAGTTGACAATATCTTCCAGCACTTTTCTGCGATTTATACGACTTTCAGTCGATGCTTTTCCTGAGCAATTAGCACATAGACGTTATTTTCATTGTTACTTTTTAGCAATCTGCAACCACCCTGGAACTCCTCGAAACGGCGCAAAGCATGGTAGAAATTTCGAATCTGGCTCAACGGTGAACTTTACATGCAATGCTGGATACACATTGGTTGGTAGCAAAACAATTGAGTGTCGCAGTGGACGTTGGAGCTCAAATTCACCACACTGCAAAAGTAACTTATGCTTTCACTATTACTCTAAAAAATCAACATTTCAAGTTTCAAGTTTATTATTATTTTACAATCCAACTGACCTGCAGGTAGCTAGGCTTATCGAGGCAGGTCAGTCTCACAAGTTTTAATATTACAGATTTCAAAAAGAGTTTAAAAGAGAGGTGAACAAAGTAACAGTTTTGCAAAACGGAGAGAAACATAAAAGTAATATGGTTTCATATTGAATCAAAAAAGGAAAACCTAATAAAGGGACAAAAATGAAATAATTATGATATGACAGGTATCTAGATATATGTATAGAAGTCCCTTCTTTTTAATATTAGGCATGATTTTGTCATTAATACACACTCATGTTAGTCTAGTCTTTATGTCAGCAAAAAGAACAACGCCCATTTTTTCCCTTACTGTGCTAACTGCACAAGTTCATGTGAGTGCAAGAATCTATACAGTTTCATGTTTGCACGCAAGCATTTTATACCAGTTGATATGGTTAAACGCGGGGCTAGATCCTAATCCGTATAGCCTTTTCGTTCTTCACAGAGACTTGCAGTGATCCTGGAGCTCCACTAAACAGACTCTTCTTCTTCTTCTTCTCCCTTTTCTTCTTCTTCTTCTTCTTCTTCTTCTTCTTCTTCTTCTTCTTCTTCTTCTTCTTCTTCTTCTTCTTCTTCTTCTTCTTATTATTATTATTATTATTATTATTATTATTATTATTATTATTATTATTATTATTATTTTTATTCATTGGAACGCAAGGAAATATATGCGTATTAATTAAGTAAAAGAAGACTTAGACGACTTAATGAATTGCTTTGTTTTGTTTTCAGCAAATTGTAAGGATCCTGGTATTCCAGAACAGGGTGGAAGGAAAGGCAGCAGTTTTGCCCACGGCAAAACATTGAGCTTTTCATGTAATGTTGGATACACTTTGGTTGGTGCCCAGACTATCGAATGCCGTGAGGGAATTTGGAGCGCACAGTTACCGCTTTGCAAGAGTAAGTTTTCTTTAACTTCTAATCTCAAGGACGAATTTTTTTTCTTACACTAGCTATATAGCTATTTGCAAAAGAGCACATTCAAGAATGGCATCTTCAGTTATAGAATGATTAACGTGAAGATGTCGTTTTCTGTAAATTACAGATTGATTGTGCATCTCTTAAATTAATTATCGTAATGCCCCGTTTCCAACTTCACAGAGAGTTGCACTAATCCAGGAGCTCCACAAAACGGTCACAGAAGTGGCAGTGATTTCAGACATGGGAAAAAGGTGACTTTCACATGCCAACGTGGTTTTATATTACGTGGCATTAGCAGCATTACGTGCAATAACGCGACATGGAATGGAAACGTTCCCGTATGTAGAGGTAAGAGAGGCAGTCTGCATATATTTGTTTAGTTCTCGCAGACTACGAGGAGCCTAAACTAATGGACCCTTAACATTTTACCTTTACAAGTTCGTTTTGCTGTCGGTTATTCACGGAATTGTTTTTCTCGTTGGCAACTGAAAATGTACCCATAACTTTACTTAGATGAAACATGTATTACAGAGATTTCGTTTTTGACAATAATTGATTTAACTATACGTAGTCATTCGAACTGATGCCGAAAAAAGAATCGCGTCGCCTTAACCGAAGCTTGCTCGTTCATGACATAGGTGACTTGTAATCTTTAAATCATATCATTTGTAATGTTTCACTTACTTTTATGGTTACTATCAGAATGTCTTCTGATGGCTAATCGAGAAATTGTAACCGATTTCTTGCATGCTGTTTTATCAGTTTATGTAATGGTCTTTTTCACACCTGCATATACAACGCTGTATGCATTACAGGTTGACCTTCAATTGTCTTTGTTTCAGCTGTCTGCAAAATTCCTTCAATCCTGAAAAACGGAGCTATATCAACTGTTAACTTTGACAATGAAGGCATTATAGAGCTGTCTTGTCACCACGGATACAAATTAAGCGGATCGCGCGTGTTGCAATGTGTCAGTGGCCAATGGAATGATAGCATACCACAATGTCTTAAAGGTAAAATAGCAACTTTATTTGGTCAGAAAATTAACAACAAAAATAATATTATATGAATCTTAACCACTCTCGTCCTCAGGTAGAATTGGACCTACATCAGTTCAATTATGGCGCAAAGAATTAGTAAATATGCGTTTTATGTATTGGAGTCTTTACTATATAGAAAAAAATAGTTTATAATAATTGTTTGATGGTTCGTAGCTCAGAGTTTATGGCAGCATTTGCTATCATTTGTTTTTCTGGGATGAAAAATTCTTTGTTTCAGTAGAATAAAGTGGTTTTGCCTCTAAGTCGAACATGTTTACAGCCTCAAGACAAATGATTCTTATTGTTGCTGATAACGAAAATACAACGCGTATAATCATGAGGTGTTTATGATTTTAGATACTTGTCCCAGTCCCCCTACAATTGCGCACGGTTCACACAATGGTAATGATTTCACCAGTGGCACAAACGTGACGTACTCGTGCAACAAACAATATGTTCTGGAAGGTTCCGCTGTCATCCGATGTGTGCATAGACAGTGGATTGGAAAAGTACCAGTATGCAGAGGTATTGATTTTTAATAGGCATTAAAGGGGCTGTGTACGTGGATACTGCTGTTTTGGGTCAATCCTGTGCTTAAGTCGTTACAAAGAGCCTTTACTCATACACATGCACAAACCACAATAAGGTTTTGGTGATTTCCGCTGGCATAACATTAAAACGTTTTTTTTGGTAATTTTCTGTTTATGTCCATCTGGTCATCACTAGAAGCACATGATAGGAGACAGATTCAATGTGTGGTAGTCTTAAAAAGCAAAACAGGTCCACGATTTTTTGGAATTCAATTCGCTGAGGGGGAGAAACGCTTTAGCTTATTAAAATGGTAGCAAATATCATGGCACAGTCCGTTTTAGACAATAATTCAACTGTATAATATTAATATGATATACCGCTGCTTTCTCGGTGGTATACTTTATTCCGCAAATATTGTCAGCGGGATCATTTCTTTAATGTTCTCTTTCAGCCCCTTGCCAGGCCCCAAAAGTACCAGCTAATGGCTTTGTCTTTAGTGATAACCTGCAACATCATAGTAATGTACAGTTCTGGTGTGCTAAAGGCTTTGTTTTGCGCGGTTTAACTACCATCCAGTGTAAGGATGGGCAGTGGGATGCTCCATTCCCTGTCTGTGAAGCCGGTAATTATGCTCATCAAAATATTTCAATTACATTCACAATTTTTAAAGAATGTTTTTGGCTATGTAGTCTTACCGTATTTACTCAAATAAGCATCGACCTCGAATAAACGCCGCATCGGGCGAAAAAAAAGTTTATAAGTACCAGCCCCCAATTCTGTCAGTTAAATACGGAAAATAACAATATCGTAGTTAAAACAACTCTTTGTCGCGTCCAACTTTCAAATTATAAACACGGCCCCCACCCCCCCTGCTCAAAGATGTTTTGTTTTGTTCGCGGCGCTTATTTAAGTAAATACGGTATGCTTCATTTACCTCCGACAGTCATTACGCAATACAGACATATATTTTGAATTCTATATGACAAAGAAACTTCCGATGACTTAGTTACGTTTTTGCGGACTTATGGCAGGACGGATGAAACTTTAACTCAAGTAGTTTAAGCCCTGAAGGGGTTTATCTGTGGAAAATGAATTATTGACTATAACTTCGGCATAGATGATACCGCTGAATTAAAATTTGGCACACATAAAGAACTCATTGTGATTAACATTATAAACCATTAAATATTTTGTTAAAAAGTCACGTGATATGTCACGTGACCACTTTCCTAGAAATCGTAAATTATTGGCCAATTAGTGGCCGGTTTAAGAAAAGAAATCGAGCAATAACATTTTTTCTAATTCATATTAAACATTTCTAACACTTCATATTTGGAATGACCGTCCATTGCACTGCAATAAAAAATTATGAAGGAAAACGTCATTTTAAATGCCCAAATTTTTATCTTGAATTATTTAAGAACGGATGTCTGTAATATCGACCAGAGGTTGGAAAAATATAATTTTTGAAAAATCCCAAACAAATTATGTACACTCCCTTAGGTATTCTAGTAACGAAAATATAAATTTTAGTTTCATTGGATAAATATTTTGGCGATACGACGAATGTCAACTTCGGGCGATTGACGGCCTCCGCCAGACCGCTTTTTCGGGCCCCTAGACCGGGCTACGAAAAAGACCACGATTTCAATCGAACTCCAATATCATCCAACCCAAAAAGCTTCTTAACGTATTGAAAGGAGTTTCATACACATACTGAGTGGTCATGTTCTTGAATTGATCGCAACTGGAATATTTTATGGTTTTTAAATATTTACAAAAATTTAAGGCTTTTACGCGAGCAAAATATTTTCAGATTTCAAAGTAGGCTTTTCTACATTATGCTTCTGCTTCCCCACTGAAATGCTCCACCTTAATGCTTCATTTTTCCCACTAAAATGTTCGGTCTCCCCAAAAAAGCCACTAAAATGCTCGGATAATGCTCATTATACAAACGGTTTTTTTATTTTATTTCAAAGTTTACACTTACAAAAACGTGCGAGTGTTGCAAGTAACAACAATAACGTGTACAAGTTCATAACTACAGCCAAAAAAATAGCTGTATTAGGTTTTTTGTAAATTTTGAGTTTTAGTCTTCATTTTCTTTAGGAGCTCGTGGGGCATGGGCTCCTGAAAAAAGTTAATTTCTATTTTATTTTCAACGAAAAATTAATTTTCCGGGGAAAATGCCACTAAAATGCTCGAATAATGCTCAATGCTTTTGCCTCACTAAAATGCTCGAAAAATGCTAGCATGATGTACAAAAGCCTATTTCAAAGGCCTAAGATCACATCCGATACATGATTTCTAACAGAAGAAGACATTCCACGTTAAAAAGCAATCTCTAAGCTTTCAAAATATACTTTCAAAACTCTGGGCAACATATGAAATGAATTTTTGGGAACGCAAAATTCACACAGCACTTGAGTGTAATTTGACCTTTCTTTTTCGACAGTCAAGAGGTTCCGCGCGACACAAATCAATCCTCCAACAAATGTTTCAGCCAAAATACGTTTAATTTAGGCAATCTCAAGTCCCACAGTGATACATAGATGCTTCATATACATTAGTTGGAAAGTTTCATGCCATTTTGTGAGCCGTAAAGAACTATTACTCTGGCCTTCAGGTGCAGTAGTTGAACTCGCCTCGCTAATGTAAACATCGGGGTCAAGTTCTTATCACGAAACAGCGAAGTTTTCAAAATCTACACCAACTATCTATCCTGTCTAGTATATAATCAGGTCTACAATTTGTTTGTTTGTACCTTGTGTCCTTGTTTGACTTCATTTCCACAAATGAAACTGAGACATGCTGAGCTACAACGAAATTCCCGCTCGCTCGACATGTCACGTGTCACTTGAAAGGGCCGTTTTAGACCTGATTGCGTTACGTAAACATGACACATAGCGATTATTGCTGATTTGTGCAAAAAAAAATCCATTTCTAACTTACATGTTGTAGGTATGCTAGACAATCTCAATTTTTTTCCTTACCATGCAGTTTTACCAATTTCAGGCTTGTGATCCCCCAGTTTTCAGTGATCCCCGAAGTTTTCAGTGATCCCCCTTTTTTGGGTTCTCAGTCACGACTGATCCCCCCTAATGCGTTTCGCAATAATTCTGCAACACGCTAATGTGGCCTATCATGTGTAAAGAGCATTTTAGGGGCCGACCATTTGACTTTTGACGGGGGGAGGGAGGGTGTAGGTGATTTTAGAAAAAAATATCCTGAAGACTGACCTTGAGCAAATCTTGCAAGGAAATACCTGTTATACAATAGCTTTGTATGTCAGGGAAAAACGTTCTATCACCAGAGGTTTTGGGGGAAAAAATTCTTACGCATACCCATGAAATCACCCATACCCCGCTTAGAGTCAAATGGCCGGCCCCTAATTACATCTAGAAAATTCTACT